TTTAAAAAAATAACTAAAACAATAGCCATGTAACTACCTACTATGTTTTTTAAAAATATTGGAATTAAAAATGAATTAAATGGATTTAATAAATAGCTTATGAAATCATCAACCATAGATAGTTACATAAATTTGATATGGTAAATGGTAATTATACACATTAAATGTCTGAGTGACTGAGTATACTATACATTGATAATCTCAACGTCACAACGGTCAACGACGATAATTGGTATAATTGTATATGGACATAGTAATTTATATTTTGTTCTTCTCGCTATTTATCCATACATATTACATACATATCATATTTTTTTTATATAATATAACGGTAAACTATCAATCATGCACAGCTAAAATATTAAAAAAAAAATAATAGCAAAACTAATTTAATTTTTATTGACTGTTAGGTATAAATTACTTATACCTAATATTATTCTGGAATATTTTTCAGAGCTAATATCGTTTCACTATATTTTTGGAATGAACTTACATTAGTCATTTATTGCTCATTACTTTAGTGACCATTTTAATTCTGTGTAAATAATTATATTTACTGTTAGAAACGTGAACAAAGAAACTACTCATTAAGAAATAAGTATTAGACATACCATTAAGAAGTTGTTCAACTCTACTGCAGGATATAAGTATAAAACCACGTATTATAATAACAGTAACAAAGATTTTACAAAAATATATAGACAATACAATTTGGATAAAGATTTATTACATATTTTGTTTTAACTATAAGCAAATATTAAAATAAATGTGTATCTTCAAGTGGTTTTTGATTTAACTTGAAGATTGCTTAAGAATATTTGAACAATTATTATCACGAAATTTGTAAGCAGAAAAACGTTTTCTGCGGGATCTTATGAATATAAAATAATATATGCTGTTTTTAGAGTCAAACAGTTATTTGAACTCGATCAGTTAAATCCCAAATATTAAAATACGTGTTTTCTTTTTTTACTTTCATAATAAATAAAATGTTATGAAATAGGTAAGCCTATCTATTCAGCTTCAGATTTTACGTATAGAAGAGATAGTATTTATTTTTACATTTTTTTAACGCATCGTGTGGCCAGGTGGCCTGAGCCTTAGTGAGAATAAGAGATACATAATTTTGTCGAAAAAAATATCAGCTAAATAAAATCTATTGTGAAAAAAAATCTGTAAACAGATATGTCACCACTCACCATATTACTACATTTTTAATGAGGATATACATATATATATTTAATTTCTTTCCGGTCAAAAATCAAACATAAAAAATATTTTACGCTTATTGTTTTCAAAAAATATAGGAATGTACTAAACGCCAACATAATATTATACAACACATATATTTCTAAACTCACCGAATGAACATAAACAATATTGCAGATTGTACAATTTTTACATGTTACGTTCGTGAACACCATATTGCTCTATAGGTCGTAAATGTTTATGACTCTCGTCAACTACAGGCGCATTGTGTGCTCAGACGTGAACACGAGCTCACCGTGTTTATGGTTATACACAATGGCTTGGCCTAACAAAATAATTCATAAATATTTTAATTTCAAATATTTAATAAGAACCACAACATTAATATTGGCTTGCGTGATTTTTAGCCTAACATACAGTTATGTAGGACATAGGTATACCTTTTTTTTTCATATTGTGTTATCTCAACTGAGGACTGAGTAGCGCTACTTCTACCTCACCCGCATTAAGTACTTACTGGCTACTAGTAGTCACACATACAATATAGAATCAATTATTGTTGTTACAAGACATTTAAAAATGAAGAGTTGGGTGGTAGGCGGGACAAACCCTCTCCCTCTATCATTTGCAGTGGTCGATTTTACTGGGAGCTTCATGGGCCACCGCCCTCGAAATCTGGTACTTGCGTCAAATTTTCCAGAGCTGTGGGGACTCAGGGGAAGTCTTTTATGGCATATTTTTTACCTTAACTGCATTTTACACCAGTTGAACTTAAAGTCTTTGGGCGTCCCTGTGGGCCCACCAATACAGTGTGTCAGTGAGAATTCAATGATTTGAAATATTAAAAAAATCAGGAAGTTCCCTCATTTTAATCAATTGGTTGTGTCTATCTATTGGACTTTTATAAACATAATTTTTTCAAGATCAACTAAACAATTGCTACACAATTGACACAAAAAATGAAATCGTAAAAAACATCTATTCATTGTGTTAAACGTGGTTAACGTACCAACGTACCTGTATCTATTATATAATATAACATAATATACATACATATTTAATACTGCAATAAGTTATTAATTATACATTTTTAAACAAATTTTGTTTTTTCGACTATCATAATATCATAATGAATTCTTTAAAAGACATATTTGTAACAATAGAAGGCCTTCAAAAAATCTTCGTGACCTTAATAATAAGTTGCTAATACTTTGCTAATACTTATTATAAAAACATTCTAATGTTAACAAAACAATAAATGACTTAATAAATATTAACAAAACAATTAATTACTAAATAAATATTTATAATATTTATAAAATATCTGAAATGAAATCATTTTATATAGCCATATAGTTAGTTTCTACTTATCTACTTTATGCATTTAGAAATAATGTCATAAATCTATCAAATATCAACAGTTATGATTTAAGTATATACACCATACACGCACACAATGTATAAAATAAAATGTTATTCGTTCCCCATCGATTTAATTATTTAATTGTATAGGTAACAAATTGTTGTAAAAAATAAAAATGATCCATGCACTTTGTTGCCCGTAAAAAATGGCCCCTCTTAAAAAAATTATGTTTGTTCAACTCTCTTTGCAGGGTGTAACTCGCTGCAGTAAGTGCAGCTCAACCAGGGTATCTGGGTATATCGTATATCTATGTCGGATCGCGGACAATGTGCAACTCATCCACCTTGGTAGGCAATGTTCGAAAATTCGATTTGATGCAAGCTTGTACGTTGTACCTGATCTGCCTGAATAACCAATAGCACCTATTACGTATATAGGTAGGTATACAATTTATATGTACAATTTTTTTTTGCTGAGTTTAACTCCTTTTTCAGTGCACGGTGAACATATAATACTAATCTACCCTCAAAATTTCAAAACGATAGCTCTAATAGGTTCGGCTCCGAGTTGATTATGAATCAGTCACTCAAAGTCAGGACAGTTTCGTATATACATATATACAGATGTAGCTATGTGACATACACTATCAAGACTTGTATCCTAAGAACAGTTTTAAAAATACTTATTCATCATAATAATATCATGTTGTCTTAAAAACATTTTTGATTATTACGAGGTGCCTCTATATATAATTCCTAAATTGGTCGTAGAAAACCGCGGATTCAGGCCATGGCCTTTGCTTTACTTATGAATATATTATAATCTATTACGAATATCAAAATAAATTAATCTAATATAATATATTCAAAATAAATGAGTATGTAGTACAAATATGTGTAATAAATATTAAATACCTACATATAGGCTGAGAACTTAATGTGCTTTAAAAACCTCACGGCTCACAGTGAAACAAATGTAATAAAACCATGGACATTTTTAGCAAAGCGGTAATAGGTGCAGTTTAAGTACATTTATACGCTCTCAAATATTGGAGCATGTAAAAAACACACACACGAGTCTCGTTCATCATTCGGTCGGTATATTGTCTTGGAAATGTCTATTGCATCACGTGCCACACGCGTAGACCACTGTGGCGCTGTATGCCCGAAATTGGAATGACTCGACCTGTTACTGTTCTTTTTTCTATATATATAATATTATATTATAGTCTTCCTGTGGTTTAATCAGATGATTTATATGCAAAGTTGTTACTTAATAGACTGTGCGACCTTGCTAGTATAAAAGTGATAACAATATCAATAACATTGTCCGTTATTGTAATATGTTTGTAATATGTATATATAACAGCTCTCTTTCATGTGGTCTATTTGCAGGATTTAACATTAACGCAACCCACTATATAACACAATACATACTACATAGCCACATAGGTGGGACATAAACATAATTCAAATTTCTAACAGTTAACGATTTTCGATTGTTCGTTATCAGTTAAAAAAATCAAAAAGAAACGTATTAACGTGGAGCGATCATCCGATTATATACGAGAAAAAATCATATTATATTCCCTCTGCGGTTTTATGTAACATAGAATGCAATGTATTACCATTGATTATACATACGTATCATATAGGTAAATCAATGGTATTACGTGGCTTGTACACCTATCGTTTAGTTAAACCGATTCTTTTTATAACCCAGGTATTTTTTACTATACTGGTCATATTTTTCTACAATAGTGATTGTTTGACTTATATGGTTAGCAGGGGCAAATTTAGAAATGTTTTATGAGGGAGGAGGGGGGGGGCACAAACAAAATTCAAATTATGCATAATTATAAGTTATAACTCATATTTTCCATCTCAAAATAATATCATACTTTATAACCAAATAATTAAAATACATGTGTTTGATAGTATAATATCTATTTATTTGCAGATCTATCATTAGTAAGAGAGAGTGTCAATCTTTTTATTACTCTCAGTAATAAAAAAGTATAAAATACAATGAATTGGAGGGGGGAGCACGGGCCCCATGTGTCCCCCTTAAATACATCCCTGGTGGTCAGAGTTATACACTGAGTAGTGGATTCGTACATCAACTTATACGATTGACCATAATAAATAATAATGACCGTTCGAAGATTGCAGCCAAGAAGAAGAATCCAAAAGTTTGGAATAAAAAATAATTTATGTAAAAAATATGTATTATAATAATATTTTATTCGTTGCAATTGTATGAACATTCGTAGTAACTAATAATAATAATAATTTATAAATATAAAATCTGCACGGACATTGCAGTGTTAAGTGTATAATGGGATCGTTGATACATAGCTGCAGTATATATTATAGGCATTTCATGTCATGGTAACTCTGGTATTGGACCAACGCTGTTATGTCTTCTCTCATGGGTAATAAGCGTACGGTGAAGCGAAAGTCTTGGCGACGTACGGGTAAGTAGCATAAGACGACACGGCGCCGTACGGGTGATGAGAAGCGACGTACGGTGCTGCGGCGTACGGGGAAGCAACATACGACGAGGCCACATACGGTGATGCTGCGTACGGCGAAGCAACGTATGGTGTGGCCGCGTACGGTGAGGCCACTATGGTGATGCGGCGTACGGGGCGGTCAAGTAGGGAGAAGCGTACAGGCCACGCTTGTTGCGGTCTCCGGCGGCGGCGGGGGCGGCTGATTGTGACGATTGTTTTGCAGACTGTTCGGCAGCGTAGGTAGATACGAAGCACATGGCGACGGCAAGCAGAGCAAAAGATACCTGTGAAAACACAATAAATAATTAGTCGCGATTCGGACAAATTTTTTAAACCGTAACTATATAAATTATGTCATTGAGGGAAAACTCTAGCCCCTTGCAATGAGTGAAACTAAAAAAAAATATAATATGTCTCGTCCAAACGGGGATATACATGGAAGGAGTTTTTTTAAACGTAAATTTGGACATTTAATACGTTGGAGAGTGATTGTAGCACACAATACAATAACATTTTACCTATATCATATCTTAAGTTACAATAGTTCTGTTTTTTTAATATATACTTAAAATTTGATTTTTTTCTAATTTAACTCAAAAATAACGAAAATTTTTTCATTATTTCAGGATTTTACATCAGTACTTAAAAATGTTGATTTTACATTAACAATTTGATATTTTATATTTCGAATGCCTATATATTATTATATATTGTTGAACCTACCGCTACCTAACGAATACGTAAAAAATATTACTTACTTGGAATTTCATTTTGATTATTTTCGTTGTTTTTTGATTGTGGTTTGGAAGTATGACTTGAGATGCTCGTATGTCCACTAAAGTCGAATGATGAACTGATTGACCTAAGTCCAATCGGTCGTTTTATATAGTAACATTCGACCATGTAACGCCCAATTGTCATTCAAAGTACAATATTCCTACGTCCTAGTTACCACACATCAGTTTTGATGCCAAATAAAATAACAATTGAATTATAATGTTTTTATACAGCAGCACAATTGGTTTTTTTTCTATTCTTTTTTATAGTCACCACCCTTTTCAGTATATACCTACTTAATACTTATATTCTTCATAAGTATCCTTAAGTATCCTTGACGACGAAGAGGGTTTTGTAACTCTATATGACTATTGACTATATATGGATGACCCCACAGTCTATACATCGTCGTTTATGCGGCAATGTGATATTATTGAAAATTGTTATTTATTATTTTGATGAATTATGCATATTATGAGTTATGACAATACTATTATAATAATATCAATGTATGAAATAGATTGTCTACAGGCCTTGATCATAATACCTATTACAGTTGACCTCAGTGTTGGTCGCTGGATTTCATTCGGTTGTCGAAAACTATAACAGCCTATACGGAGACATGCGAGACTAATGGTAAATCATCAATAATCGAAAAGAGTTCCTATAATTTTTATATAAAAAAAATGAATCGCTTATAAAATAAATTATATTTTATACAAAAAATTTAATATAATACACTCTGTATCAACAATGTGATAAACAAAAATAAATAGAAACAAATAGTGGATTGTATGAAATTGTAATTTTTTTTTGGTCGCAATAAATAAAATATTATTATTATCAATAGATGTTTAATGCTTGAAGACATATTTCCTATTTTAACGTATTTAAATTGAATTACTTACCTTGTCTAGTTGTTTGATAGTAAAGCATGTGCCCACAAATAATTCTTTGTTTAGTTACAAAAATATTTATTAATTATTTATAATTATTGCATTGGTAGTAAAATTAATTTTAATACCTATTGATACTGTTATACTTTCATGTTTAATTTTTATTTAGAAATGTCTAATTTTAAACCACATAATTCAAATTGCTTCAAATATTCATTAAAAATATTCAATTATATTTTTAATATACGCAATATATTGTGTGCATTATTGTGTAAATATTACAATTATTATAATTTGGGCTCATAAGACAATATTATAATTATAGTGCACATAGAAATTATTTTCTGCATAAGTGCATGCTAATTTTACAGGAAATGATTGTTCCATTAAAAATTGACAACATTTCGTTAAAAATATTCTGTATAATGTCTTCATATTATACTCGGATATTCGCATATCAAACGGTAATCCATGTTTCCAATATTAGTGAATCTACTCGTGTAGGTATAATAGTTGTGTCTGCAGTAGGTTACTTGAATTAATTAAGTGTTATTGCAATAGTCGTTGCTAACATAAATTAATTCATTAATATTATACTATTACAAACTACAGGTTTTTTTATATGTGTTTTGTAACACAGAACAATTTAAGTCACTGAAGCAGATTGTAGGTGTATAGTGCGTATACCATAATATTCCTAAAAAGTTAAAAGAAAATTTACTTATAGTTGCAACCAGGGACAGAAACCGTTACAAATTTTAACGGTTTCGGTTTCGGTTTTGAGAACGGTTTATACAATTTTCTGGTTTTGGTTTAGGTTTAAAGATCGGTTTTTTAAATTTTTCGGTTTTGGTTTCGGTTTCAAAAAAGGGTTTTTTAAATTTATCGGTTTCAAAAACCACGGTTTTCAAAAATTTTCGGTTACGGTTTTTAGTTTCCAGTAATAATTTTTTTTTTTCAATGGTATCGAGAGTCGATGGAGGTTGTTGGACGTTGGTCGCAGTACTTCTTCCCAATAAGTCACACTACTTCGCCCCTTCCAGTAATATCTATAGACCTGATTTGTATTATCTATTAACTATTAAGGGGAAAGGGCCTGAGCCTCAGGGGTGGCACTGTCTAAGGATACAGATATATTGGGTTCTGATCAAGGGATTGTTAGGAATATATATATATAAATATTATATATACATACTCAATAAAGGTATATTATGGTATTATACATATATTTTTAATAACATTGGTAATTTGTATCACCAATTGCCTATAGGAAATAAATAATAATTAATAAGTACCTACCTAATAACATATTACATGCACACAAATACAATATATTTTTGTATGTTGCAGTAGTTAAGACACTCAGTAAGAAATACTAAATACATGTACACTATATATTAGATATTATATTATATTATGTAGTACATAATATCTTCTTTCTTTTCAATATAAATTATATAATATGACTTATGTCTGGGAGGGGGGGATTATAAAAAAATATGTGCTACGTAAAAAATACAACTGTTTTAATGCACTTTCCATAGTGGTAGGAACTTAAAATTTAAACCATAGCTTCCTTAAAATGGTCTCATGCGATTAATGATAACTGCGGTCTGCGGGACAGCGGGACGGACGCGGATCAGTCGAATACGAAAATACAATTCTAATTAAATAATAATATAGACGAATTCTTCAAATAATAACAATTTACAATACAGATGTGCATAGCCACGCATAGGGGCGATAAAAATAACAATTGTGATATTTGTATTTTAATTTAGAATCAACAAATCTAGTAATAAAATATAGGTAGGTAGTATAAATAGAATAATATTCGTAATATCGTATTATTAATATTTCGTAATACTCAGTAATAGCATCGGGAATTTTTCATACATATTAATTCAAATATAATATTCTCTTCGTAGAAAAATACTTGTTTTAACTAGAATTAATAAAAATAAAATTTAAACAATCTTAGAAAATTCTAAGAAACCGATATTAGTTTTAAATGTTAATCGGTTTTGAAGAACGGTTTTAAAATTTTTTGGTTACGGTCTGGGTATTATAAATGGTTTTTTAAATTCTTAGGTTACGGTTCTGGTTTTCTAACCGAGATTTTAAAGCTCTTGGTTTCGGTTTCGGTTACGGTGTTCAAAATTGCAAAAACCGCGGTTTTAACCGGTTTTTCAGAAAACCGGTTAAACCGGTTTCTGTCCCTGGTTGCAACTTGTAACTTAAGGTATGCATGTACTCGATTAGCAATTTGTTTTAATCAATTAAACATATACTTAAACTAAACATTTTACTGAGACTAAAATATTATTTATATTATGTATATACTATATAGTACATTAATACACTTACTTGGCTACTCGGAATAACAAAATATGTAAATGTAGATTTAAGACATATCAAAATTTACTTCCATGAAGTACTTAGAATCTATAGATAATACAATTTTAAAAGTAATACATATCAATGTAGAAATTCCCAATTGCCATGCAGCCAATAATTCGTCTTTTTATAAATGTAAAAAAAAAACTTTTATAAGTAATAATGTAATATACTATAATATGACGCCTGTTTTACCCTATACGTATTTGAATAATAAATAAAATAATAATATTTTATTGTTTATTATTTTAAATAATATTTACTTACTGGGTGCTTAATTTTTTTTTTTATTTAAGAAAAATAACTCTTGACAAAGCGCTCTCATTGGGAATTAGGTATGTACTGTAGTCTATAGTATACATACTAGTATATTACATAATATTATGTAATCTCCATATATTATAATATTTAGTAATGAATATCCTAGACTTCTATGGTATCTGTAATGTGTTTCGTTTTTCGTTTTTCTTTATATAAAAATCAGATATGTAAATTTGTGATTATAATTTATTTATTTTTGGAAATCATTTTTAGGGGTATCTCATATAATAAAATAAACTGAATACACTAACACTATACCATATCAAATAATTATAACTTTTTAGCTATTAGTTCATTTAAATCATTACTAAAGTTCAATAATATATTATACCTTTACCTTTACTATTACTTTTTTGCGTGTGTAAGTCGCGGCCCGATAAGAGGGCACTTTCACTTTACCATTACTGTATATTAAAATGATAATGTAAATATTTAATGTAATGTGTATGCTATTATATGCTCCTCATGGTTTATTTGTTTTTGTCTTTATTATGAAAGTAATATTTAGTTGTAATATTGTAACACTGTTTTTTACATATTATTATGATATTATGCATAAAATATAAAAATAAATATCCTAAATTAAAAACATATTTGTTTTATATTTATTGTACATTTGTACTTATTCAGTTTTATAATTAATTACTCTGAATTAAGAAATTAATTTTTTCCAACCAAACTATAAAGTAAAAGATATATTGGTAGATTTAAAATTAACATGCTCCTTATACTTTTAAATAATATATAATATATTTTTATACTTTTTATCCATTATTACAGTATTTTAACGAGGGAAAAACTGAATTCAATGACCCTGCTGACAAAGTGACAACACATCTTTAATTTATATCTACACACCAGTGCACACTCTGAACAGTGCTTCTGTTGTTACTGTTTAGTTAATCTGTCCTTCAATATTATTAATTTAGTATTTACAATTTTTTAAACATCATGAATTCGCGATGACTAATATTTATTTTATATTTATAAATTTAATAAAATTAACCACATTATGATTACAGGATCACTCTACAAGACCAACGTATTCAATTTATCATGCATTAAACATTTTAAAAATGTATGTGAACCAAAAAAATTAAAAATTTTATAATTTATTTTAAAGTGGAACCCTGTAGTCATTAGCCAGGGAGTATAGACGTAAAAAAGACAGATGAACAGACGGACTTGAGCTTATTCAATTAAACAAATAAATAACATAAACAGATGAAATTGTATCTACAGATCTGATTTTATATATTACGTAGGTATACTTTTGACTTGTTTAATATCTCTCGAAGAAACAAAGTCTGAATTATAACGTAGGTATTTCATATTTTCATGTATACTTAAAGTTGTAATTATAATAATATATTAAAGTAGACGCTACTAAAATAGTATACCTACGAACGTTATATATAGGCGCAACTAGAACTACACTTTAGGAGGTGCTATAAATATGTATACTAAACTCGTGGGGGGCATACATAATAATATATTTTTCAATAATATATAATTCAAAAGTGCATGTGA